ATGAACATGGGTAAGAAGTGTGGCCCCATGACCAGAATGCACTAAGTCCCGAAGGCTGCAGCTACAAATGTACAAACATCTGATTGCATGAGTGTCACGCAACATCCAGAACAATTGCAAGAACAGAACAGCTTGCGCCAGAGTGCTGCTGCTAAGACTCATGACACAGTACAACAAGCGCCACACTGCATGCTTCAGCAATGTATCCTGACATGCTGCAACTGCAGGTTTCCGTGATGCCAAGGGGCTTTGCATCATTCAAGCTCAAGAAAACGATGCAAACATATCAGACTCAGTGAATGTATCAGGTGGAATTTTGCAAGCACCGCGCAAAGCATCAAACTCCGGATTGGGCCTCTGTTCGGCTGCCTAGAGGACTACATGGCCCCATACTGTCGATGGCGCCTGAGCAAAATGCATTGACTGGTCTCCCCCACAGTCAGGAAAGTGCCAAATCAGAAGATCTGACAGCCCACATTCAGCGTTTGGTAGCATGACGTCTGCAAGGTAGCTTAGAAACTTACAAGGCTATGAACTCTAGTTGGCCAGGCCTATGCAATCTGTTGGCTCCGACTCAATGCTAATGAGCTAATGCTACCAAAGCTCAATGCCCACAAAACTGGTCTAGCTACCGGTGGCGTCCACATCCTCATCTTGTGGCAAGAACTGGAAACTAACAGAACGGAATCTGAAGATATCATCATGCTCTTGCTTCGCAAGCAAGCAACCTACAACATAGGACATGAAGGTCCCAGAGCTCGCTAGACTCAGTGGGAGGTGGGTGCTTTCATACGACATCCTCAATTCCAAAGAGCAGGACTTATTGAAAGCTGAGGTGCAGAAAGAAGTGATCGAGCTCATTGAGCAAGGAATTTTCGTAGGCATCGGCGCTGCACCTGTTTGTTCTTCCATGTCGAGGGCTATCACTCCTGCCTGGAGGACGGTCGCTCAACCTGAAGGGATACAAGGACTTTCTTCCAGTCAACAAGCAAAAGTTGAAGCCGGGAATCAGTTTGCAAAGTTCATTGCACAAGTAGGGATGTTGTGCTTGAAGCTCGACCTTCCGTTCTGGTTTGAAAATCCCTGGCTTTCATTCCTGTGGTGGATTCCCTCCATCCAGTCCTTGAGATCCGAGTGGGGGGTTGGGTTTTGGCTCCTGGATTTTTGCGTCTTTGGTACGCCATGGCGTAAGAGGACAAGAATCCTGACAAACACGCAGCTGAGAGTTCAAAGAACTCTGTGTCCAGGATGTAAGCGCCACCAGCTCCTTCGGGGGCGATCTGCAGTGCATAAACAATCCTGGACGAAATTAGCCGAACCATACCCTTTCAAACTGGCTTCCACCATTGCCATGGTTTTGACCGGGAGTGCGGGTGATCGGCCTGAGTTCCGGGATCTCGATGCCACGGCTTGTGCAAAGTGTACCCACTGCAGGATCGGAGAGTCAAAAGCACCGGGTCCTCGAAAGACAACGGCAACCGATAGGGCTCGATCTAGATCCGGGGTGAGACTGTCTGATGTCAATCTGGTCGAGCAAAAGACTATGCAGCTGGAGACGCGGTTGTGGGAAGGTTTCGTGGAATGGCTGACGGAGGACTGTGAGCTGGAGTCAGTTGAAACTTTGTTGGCTGCCGCGGTCACAGTTGCGCCCTTTATCCAGCTCTACGGGGACCATCTTTTCAGATCGGGTGCGACTTTGACTTCCTTTCGACACCTCGTTGCTTTTGCCACTCGAAAGTTTGTTGATTTTAAATTCCACTCCAAGGTGTGCTGGGACTATGTCAGCAGATGGCAGAGCTTGGAAACTCTCACTCACAGACTACCTCTTCCCTGGAAGTTGTGTCGAGCTATGGCATCCCTTTCGTTGGCATGGAAATGGCCTCGATTCGGGCTCACCTTGCTGATTGCCTTCCTTGGGATCTTACGGATCGGAGAGGTTCTGAAAGCGACAAGGCGAGACCTCGTACTGCCGTCCGATCTTCTCTCGGAGACATCTGACAAGATGTTTCTAAAGGTCAGAGATCCAAAGTCCAAAAGACGAGGCGGTGGACGTGTACAACATGCAACCATCGTCGACAAGGATCTGGTCCTGGCCTGCGAGCGCCTGTTTGGACGACTTTCCGCCGAGAGTTTCCTCTTCCCGTACTCCAACAACACTTTCAGAAGAAGGTGGGATGAGCTCCTCAGAGCCTTAGGTGTGAGCAAGGAGCTGTCAATCACACCCGGTTGCGTTCGAGGGGGAGCTGCAGTGCATGCTTACCAGTCCGGTGTTCATGTTCAAGATCTTCTCTGGAAGATGAGAATCCAGCACATCGCGACCTTGCAGCATTACCTGCAGGAGATGGCCGCCGAAGCCGTCTTTGGCAAGATCGCTTCTTCTTCACGTGAGTCGATTAAATCAGCATCGGCTCTGTTGCCCTGTTTTCTTAATTCTTTGTAGTTGCTGCCAGGGAGCTTGCTTCGGCATGCACACGTGCCATGTACTGGCGCCTTCCGTTGCCCTGAAGTGGCCAGTGATTTATGGTCGGAGTTCTGTTGCAGCCTCCTTACTTGCATGGAGTATCCATGCAGTTTCTGCTGCGAGACGAGCAGGATCGTCTGACCAAGACTTAACACTGGCTTTGTGCAGCAAAACAGGATCCGGTGCCTAAGCGAAAGGCATAACATGCATTTGTTTTGGCGGGAAAGGCTCTTGAGCAGTCAGGCCTTTCAAGCCTGTTCTCAACCAGTGATTGTTGCTTTGGACACGGGTCACAAAAGATGAGCTACACCTCCATGTAGCCAGTTGTCAAATGATGACTTCTTTTAAGAAGCCTCATGATTATTCTGCTCTTCTTGATCTAGCAAGCCATTTAGGGCAGGGGTCAGCATTTGCACCGGCGGACCAAAGTAGGTCAAGTTTGTGGTTTACGTTGAGGTTTGCGATCAAATTTTGAAGCCTGACTTTAGACACAGTTGCGCTCACCTCTATTCTTGCCATGTCTTTGGGTTTGCGAGCGGTTTCTTGCGCACACTACACTCAAATTTCTTAAGCCCGTACGCACCTAAAATACCTAAAGAACCTAAACCCTAAACCCCTGAAAGCCGAAAACGCGTAGAATACCCTCTACCCCTAAACCCGTAAGCGCCTACAACACCTAAAGCCCCTAAACCCGCAAACACACCGTTGGCACCTAAAACCCCTAAACCACCTAAGATACCTTAAGCCCGTAAGCACCTAAAGCACCTTAAATCCGTAACCACCTAAACCCCTTAAACCGCAAGAATTCAAAATACCTAAAGCACCGGAACTCTAAGTTGAAATCCTTGGGCCATAGCGATTTAAACACGAACAGGCCTGATATGGCCTGACATTGGTTGACATCCAGGAGAGGGGGGATTTTGTTGCCACAGCCCGGTATGTCCCGAATTTCATCAGTATTCCCCGATGATACAGGCTAAAATACCTTAAGCCCCAAACCATTTGAAACCCTAAAACACCTGAATCCTCTTAAGCCCGTAAGCGTCTAAAATACCTGAAGCACCTAAAACTCCTAAACCCCCCCAGTGCCGTAAACACTTGAAACACCTTAAACCGCTTAAACCCCTACGCCCGTAAGCACCTAAAACACCTGAAGCCCCTAAACCCGTTTCGTTCAGACTGCAGTTGTTCTCTCTTGCAGCCTTACCAACTCTCGGCACGATCTGCGTGCTTCTCAATGTACCAAGTACTGATAAGCATAGGGGCAATTGACCTAGCTAAAGACACGCATGTGCATGACAGGAAAGGCAATTTGTGTAAATGTACATATGCTGCAGTGAAGAGCATCCGACCATCCTGCAGCAATCTATCTGAAAAAACAGCAACGTGCAGGGAAAGGTGCAGTTAATGCTACTCTATCCAAGATGAAGCAGGGATACCAGAACAGCATGCAGACAACTACAGAGGAGATGTGACGCTCCTCGCTGGAGATCCGGGTAGCAGGGAATCATTCCCTCCGCTGTTGTGAACGCAGCAGGGGTTGATTTAAGAATCAACTTGCAGTTTGGACATGATGTGAGCGCACTGATCTCCTGTTGCCTCTTTGCTCGAACCCGGCTGGGTTAGCACGACAGAAAACGTGTCGCGTCCTGATGCCTCTCAGACCTAGCATCTGACAAGCTTTTGGCCCAAAGTGTACATGTGCATGAGTACTCTGAGGGCTTATTTCGCAGAATATGAAGCAGGACTGCATTCTGGGCTTTGGTCAATCTTTTTTGGAAAATAAGTGAACACATGGGTGTTCATTTGGAGACTTGAAGCCACGGGCCACATAACCTTGTAAACAGCAATAGCCCCATCGGAGCTTGGGCCTTCTGCATGGACGTGTGCAGGCAGGCAGGCTTGAGAGCCAGGAGCTGTAGTTCTGCTAGGAAAGCCATGGACAGCAATATCGTGCTCCCCAACAAGGCCGGAATAGGAGAGATAAGACATTAGGCTAAGAAATGTTATCATTTGTCGTGTCTATGAGCAGCTTTAAAATTAGTTGCAGCTTGTTTGAGAATGGCCACGAAGATTGTACTCACACGTGACTTAAATCGCGTTGGGTTGAGGGGTGTTGCAGTGTAGTCCACGCGGGGGGCTACTTTTCATTGTGGACACTATCCCTGTACCCGCCCCTCAAATACGCCCTGCTCACGCTTCCACGCGAGCACTCCGCGGCCACGCAACCCCTTACCTTCTCTCCACTTTCCACACAATTACTACCCTTGCGTCCTGTCTCTCGCCTCGCCCCCTATCCATCCCCCAGCATTGCTGTTCCATCTTTTTATTCCTCCTTATCGTTTCCTATCCCCTCATACGCGCCCGCACTCTCGCCAACACTCTCCCGTCTCTCATCATCACTCCTCCGTCCATGCCCCACCCAGGTCCTGAGAACTTGTTGGCAGGAGCGGCAGGCCGGCCACATAAATTGATGTCAGCTTTTTCGCAGCCACGCTTGGAACGGACGTCTCCAGCCCTGTAGCCTGTGCCGTCGAAAATGAAAGCATGGAAATGTGTGATTCAGGGAGATGGAGTCGGGGTCAAGTATCGCAAGTCCATGGACATGAACGACCTTGCGGAGGGCAAGTGCTGTTCAGATGAACGCTTCTTTGCCAAGGTGCAGACCATGCCGAACGATTCCACATCGCAAGTCTGGCTGGTACGTGAAGACGGGCACTACTTGCCTGCCTTGCATCCCACCACACAACAGTGGTTGTTCGAAGAGGTGACCTGGGTCTGTGGGAAGGATCCCGTAACATACTGCAAGACGCCCAATATGGACGATGCAGACGCACTCATTGGCCAGGTCGAGCCAGGATTTCCAATCTATGCACTACCAGTGCCGTCGACTCCCGGCTGGTTACAGGAGGCAGGATCCAAGATGTACCTCCCCATGCATTGCAGCACTACCGGTGCACCACTTTTCACCTCTAGCAGTGCCCCAGCAACGGTACCCAAACAGATGGGCATGAGCAAGCTCATCTCACTCCGCTTCGGCTGGCTCAAAGACCCACTTGAGGAGCCTCCCAAAGCAGCCGGTGTTCCAAAGGAGGCCGTTTGGGTCCATGAGACATATTCAGGGCCGATGACCATTGCTGCAGGATGTGTCGGTTGCAGCATGTGCTGCGGAGTTCCCGGATGCATCATTTGCTACCTTGGAGTTGATGAGAGAGATGTGTGGAAAAGCCCTGATGGCAAAACGTGGAATTGGGACGGCACGTTGGTGGCTGGATAGTCTCAGCAAGTCAGCAAGCCGTGAAGAAACGAGCCGCGTAGCTGGATGCGTCCGAGCTCTGCAGTCCTGGTGCTGCCGAGATTGAGTTGGTGTCAAGCGCCAGGATGCACAATTGTGCAACACCGGATTCTCAAAGAGAATCTCTCATGCTGAGCGTCTTTCGGATGTTTAGAGTTTGTGGCCTTGAGATCCTAGTTGATTATACCGTTAAAGATTTTGCAGTTGGTAAAGTTAAAGTTTATTCTGAGCGAGATCTCCAGGCAACGCCCTTTTCTCTTGCAGTCAGCCTGATACATCAGCTCGGAGGCTGAGCTCCATTTGTGGGGCTCTCCTTTCGGACACGGGATGTTAAAAAGCGGGGCAGGCTCTGTTGGATGTGTGTAGAGGGTGCTTGCTTCGCAGAAGGCACGATCCACTTGACCTGGCATGTGCATCCACAACTACCTCGGGCATCCAAAAGTCTTTGATAAAGAAACATGTCCCAAGGCATAGTTTTAATGCCAGTTAAATGCGACTCCTCCTAATTTGATGCCTTTTGGAAGCTTGGGTCCCCAGCATTCTCCATTTTCTGAAGGACAAGGAAGAGCTCGTTGCAGACACTGCCGCTGTCATAGAGTGGAAGCACAATGGAGACATCATGCCAGACTCTGCCAGGGTCTTGGAGCGGCATCTGCTTAGCTCACTGGAGGTCTGGCAAGAAACCTGTGGCTTGCAAGCTCTACAAATATGTCCGCATCTTCGTTGAATGTTGTCATCATTGTTTGGGGCGGAGTAAGTCACCCATCGAAATTTTGTCGGCCTGGATGCCTGAAATTCAACAATTTGCAGACTCAAGACATACACGTCTCAGCAGGAAACGCGTGGTCATCTACAGTATTACATGCGATGAACGTTTTGAGCATGAAGGCGGTGGCTTGTCCTCCAAGAATGTTTACGAATTTCATCCCATCCTTGAACCTGAAGCTAGTAATTGCTTGCTGAGGATACTCCTGCGCACGCCGTGAGTCTGGCGTGGGCCCAAGGATTCGATTCACTTTGCAAGTTCTCTGAACTAAACTTCTTTTTCTGGACCTTCACGGGAAACAGCCATTCATACAATGTCCAGACTAAACCCTCCCGGCTGTCTGCCACGACTAGTCGTACTGACCCTGCACCACGACTACGACCACGACCACGACCACGACCACGACCACCAGCACCAGCACCAGCACCAGCACCAGCACCAGCACCAGCGCCAGCGCCAGCGCCAGCGCCAGCGCCAGCACCAGCACCCTACCACCACCACCACCGCCGCCGCCACCACCACCACCACCACTGCCACCGCCACCGCCACCGCCACCGCCACCACCACCGCCACCGCCACTGCCACCGCCACCACCACCACCATCACCGCCACCGCCACCGCCACCGCCACCGCCACCGCC